CTCTACCTCTTGAGCCACAGTGCCACTTCCAGCTTTTTTCTTTTTGCTTATGTGGTGCTGAGGAATCGAACCCAGGGCCTCATGCATGCAGGGCGAGCACTCTACCACTGAGCCACCTTCCCAGCCCGTTATTATTATTCTTTTGTACAGGTCCTGGGGCTTAAACTCGGGGCCTAGATACTGTCCCTAAGCTTTTTGTGTGTGTGTGTGTGCTCAAGACTGGCACTCTTCCACTTGAGTCACAGTACCACTTCTGGCTTTTTGGTGGTTCATTGGGAGATGAGAGTCTCAGAGACTTTCTTGCCAGGGCTGGCTTTGAACCACGATCCTCAGATCTCAGCCTCCTGAGTAGCCAGGAATGACAGGTATAAGCCACCAGTATCCAGCTTTCTTTCTCCCTTTTGTTTTTTTTTTTAAATAGTTGTAATCTGAAAACAGACACTGAACATAGTAGGGTAAATATAAGGAGACCTTGTTGTAGAACCGCCCCCCACACACACTCCTCCTGCAGTGGAAAAAACAATGGCTTTCTTGAGGGAAATGGGACTGAGGCATAGGTCTGTCTCCAGCACCTTAGAAAAACCCCACTGAGTCAAGAGCTGAAAGATTCCACTTGGGCTGTGTTCCCAAAGGCCCTGGAACATTCTGCGCAGACATTTGCTCTGCGTTACTCCCACACAGGGCCTGGAGGAGATGCGGGGCGGGCAGAAGCAAATCACTCAGCCGCTAGGGGAGACCTGCTGTTCTGACTTGAGCTAGGCCTTCAGAGCAGTTTTGTTCTTTTCTTTATTTCCCACCCACCCCTGCCCCCGCCCCCTCCACCCCCAGCTGTTAGTTCTATAGGGGTGATGGCTCAGCCTTGGTTCTATTCACATGAAAGGCTTCATTGGGGAGGTGTGAAATAACATGGTTAGTGTCCACCAGGACCTCTCCCTCAGCTAGGACCGGGAATCTCCTGGTGGAGGGTCCCTGCTCCAGCCACCTGTGTAAACTGCTGGCTTGCTTAAGGACATATGTCATATAAAAAGCTAAAGGGTTGGGCTGGGAAGGTGGCTCAGTGGTAGAGTGCTTGCCTTGCATGCATGAGGCCCTGGGTTCGATTCCTCAGCACCACATAAACAGAAAAAGCCAGAAGTGGCGCTGTGGCTCAAGCGGTAGAGTGCTTGCCTTGAGCTGAAGAGCTGAGGGACAGCGCCTAGGCCCAGAGTTCAGGTCCACGACCGGCAAAAAAACAAACAAACAAAAAAACCAAAAAAAAAAAAAAAAAGCTAAAGTGCAAACACAAAATGCTAAATCAGATCTCTTCTTTTGGTGCTGGTCCTAGGCACTGTCCTGAGTTTCTCTGGCTCAAGGCTAGAGCTCTACCACTTGAGCCACAGCTCCGCTTCCGGGTTTTTGGTAGTTTGTAGGAGTAAAGATGTCTTGCGGACTTTCTTGCCCTGGGCTGGCTTTGAACTTCAATCCTCAGATCTCAGCCTCCTGAGTAGCTAGAATGTCAGGTATGAGTTACCAGTGCCCGGCTACTTTAGTCTTAAACTTGCAAAGTTGGTTAGCATGGATGACATTTTAACCACTGCTTACCTATTTTTGAATCCAGAGAGCCTTCTAAGTCGGCTCCAGCCGCAATGATGACAGGGACCTCCTGCTGGGTGAGCATGTTCATGGCTATCACCGGTGTGCGACAATCTGCAATGACAGGATGTAACAGCATGTCAGTCCACTGGGACCCTACGCTGTTTGAATCTCCGAGGAGAGACCAGGCAAGAAGAAAAAAGCAGGAGAGCTTTGGTGTTCTGTGCTAATTGATCAAGAATTTCTCCTTTCAAGGATAGTAATAGACAATTCACACCAGTGGAAATCAAAGGATGAAACCAAGCACATGAGAAAATGTTGTTCATCCAAACCCCTAAGCAAAGATGTGAGAATAGCAATTTTTTTTTTCTTTCCAGATGGTGGGGTGTGGTGGGGAGCAAGCCATTCCAATCACTGCCCTTTCCTTGTGAAAAATATCTGCAAGAGGTAGAAGAATGAAACAATAACAACCACAACAAATTTCCTTATGGGGTTGGGAAGGTGGCTCAGTGGTAGAGTGCTCGCCCAGCATGCATGAAGCCCTGGGTTCCGTTCCTCAGGACCACCTACACAGGAAAAAGCCGGAAGTGGTACTGGGGCTCAAGTGGTAGAGTGCTAGCCTTGAGCACAAAGAGGCTCAGAGACAGTGCCTAAGCCCTGAGTTCAAGTCCCACAAATGAAAGAAAAAAAAATCTACTGGTAGTGAGAGTAGAACAAGAGAGCAGAAAATGACTTGAACAGAGAGGGGAAAAGAAGGCAGGAAAAGTCTATGAGACTCTTTTTCTTGGGGGGGCCCGGTCGTGGGGCCTGAACTCTGGGCCTGGGCGCTGTCCCTCAGCTCTTCAGCTCAAGGCTAGTGCTCTACCACTGGAGCCACAGCGCCACTTCCGGCTTTTTCTGTTTATGTGGTGCTGAGGAATCGAACCCAGGGCCTCATGCATGCAAGGCAAGTGCTCTACCACTGAGCCACCTTCCCAGCCCGTCTATGAGACTCTTATCGCCAATAAACTACTCAGAAAAAGCCAGAAGTGGCACTGTGGCCCAAGTGGTAGAGTGCTAGCCTTGAGCGAAAGAAGCTCAGGGACAGTGCCCAGGCCCAGAGTTCAAGCCCCAGGACTGGCAAAAAAAAAAAAAAAGACAAAGGGAAGATTGAGGAGTTTTCAAACATAGCAGAGGCCTGAAGAATGACCAGCTCCCCCCAGCATGGCCCATGGTCCCAAGGTACATCTCTGGGAAAACAGGGAATTGATAAGTCTTTCTAAGCAGGGTGCAATATGCAAAATACTAGACTGAGAAGAGTTTCCAAGAGCCACAAGGAAAATGTGGAAAGATATAGTCAGAAATTCAAAGAATATAAAGCAAATGGGGGGAGGGAGAACTCTATATAAAAAAAAAAAGAAGCAGAAAATATAATCACAGTACACAGTGTACACAGTACACTCAGTTGTGATTCTTTGTGAATACATAATTTAAATATTTTCAAACAACATATATAATATATATATTTTTTAAATTTTGGCAATACTTGCAATTCTTGTGAGTTGGCCAGCTAGGTTGCTTATTAATGTATTGTTTGCTTGTTTTTGTTGAGCACAAGTTCCTTAAAAAGGCAGCAAAAATAAGATGCGTCCTGAGAGTTTTTGGGATCTAATTGGTTCCCATAATGCCTGAAGTTCTCTCCTTTTCTCAGTTGACCACCTCTGACATAAATCTGATTTATAAGTTCTGACAAGACAGGAAGCCATCAAAAGCATCAACAGGGACCAGAGGCTGTGCTGTCTTTTCCTAGAATTGTTCCTTGCATCCTAAATATTAAATATTCATGGGCTGGGAAGGTGGCTTAGTGGTAGAGTGTTGCCTAGTGTGCATGAAGCCCTGAGTTTGATTCCTCAGTACCACATACACAGAAAAAGCCACAAGTGGCACTGTGGCTCAAGTGGTAGAGCGCTGTAGCCTTGAGCACAAAGAAGCTCAGTGACAGGCCTAGGCCCTGAGTTCAAGTCCCAGGACTGGCAAAAATTTATCACATATGAAAATGTGTTGAATTTATAGTGCTTTTTACCTCAGGAATTCAGTCTTTTATAACTGATTAGCCAACTAAGCTCCTATTAAAGTTACCTCATTTTCATTTGTGTCCCCAAATGAAGCATAAGAAAAATGTAAAGATGAGATGCTTGCATTTCTTAGTTTTTCAATTTTAGAAAAATATTCAAATGTCACAAGCCCTCAAGGAAATCTCAAATTGTCCATGAGGGATAAAAACTAGAAGTTTTCCCTTTAAACAGCTGAAAAGAAGCCAATTTCTCTTTGGAATGAGGAGACAAAAATAAATCTGAGAAAGATAGCATTGGGCCTGGCGCTGGGGGTGGGGGTGGGGGCCCTCATGCCTGTAATCCTACTCAGGAGGCTGGGATCTGAAGATTACAGTTCAAAACCAGCCTGGACAGAAAAGTCCGTGAGACTCTAATCTCCAATAAACCACTAGAAAACAGGAAGTGGCGCTGTGGCTCAAGTGGTAGAGCGCTTACCTTGAGCTGAAGAGCACAGGGACAGCGCCCAGGCCCAGAGTTTAAGCCCCAAGACCAAAAATAAAAGACTTTTCCTGCCTTGGCTGGCTTCAAATCATGATCCTCAGATCTCAGCCTCCTGAGTAGCTATCAGGGTCCGGCTCCAAACAATGAAATTTCAATTCTTCTCCATTTCAGCACAAGAAAAGTAGGTGATGAAACTCACTTTGTGCTGAGTGAGTGGTCTCTGAGCCTGCCTGGCAGGCTTCTTTCTGACCCCCAGGGGCATACCAACTGGGTGTGTGGGTGGTGTAGGGGTGTGTCCCCAGAGGGTTGGCACTGCCCCCAAGCTCTCAGGAAGTGCTCCTTGCTCTCAATACCTGAATGTGGTCATTAATGCTCAGGAAACAATTACAAGTGCCAGAGAGAAGCTGCAGCGCGATTGTTTATTTCCTCAACCTGTTATCAGCAAATGCTGTAATGTGTTGCTCTCCCTTAAAGTCTACTGAGTTGGCAGGAAGGTCTGCGAGACTCTTATCTCCAATTAACTACTCCCCCCCTCCAAAAAAAAAAAAAGAAGTGGAGCTGTGGCTCAAGTGGTAGAGCACTAGCCTTGAGCACAAAAGTTCAGGGATAGCACTTAGGCCCTGAGGACCAGCACCAACTTTAAAAATAAAAAAAAAAAAAAAAATACAGGCTGGGGTGTAGCTTAGTGGCAAAGCCCTTGCCTAGTGAGGGTTCAATCCCCAGTAAAAATAAATAAATAGAAATTAGTAATACTAAGACCAGATGCTGAGATCTGAGGCTCATGGTTCAAAACCAGCCTGGGCAAGGAAGACTATGCGACTCTTATTGCCAAAGAACCACCAGAAAACCAGAAATGGAGCTGTGGTGTAGAGTGGTAGAGTGCTAGTACTGAGCAAAAAGAGCTCAGGAATAAAGTGCCCAGGCCCTGAGTTCAAGGCCCCAAATGAACAAACAAACAAACAAAAAGATAAATAAGTAAATAAAACAAGAATAAGGCTAAAAGTAAGAACAAATCACGGAAGATGGTACACAGCAGGACTTTGGTTGTCGTGACTGCTGTCTCAGAGCCTGCTCTAGGACCTGCCAGCTTACCTTTGCCAGGTACCAAGGCCTTCTGAAAAGCCTCCTTCAGAGAGCTGTGCCCGTGTAGGAGTCTGTGGCTGGGAGAAATGGCCACATGGGAGGTACCATATATGGCCTCAGGGGTGGCTGTGTATGCTGTGAGCTTTTCTCCAGTGTCTCGGCCATCCACCTGGCAGGAGGAAGTGAGGGTCATTTCATTTCTCCGTCTTCCCCCTGGGCAATGAGATTTCTCAGCTACATCCCCTGGCTCCTCCCCCTGGTTCCCATGGTGATCATCTCTGGCCTCAAGATCAGAGGGGTAGGGGACTAAGATGGGGCCTGGCAGTACCCTGCTCCATTGTAAAATCTTTTTTTGCTGATGTTGATCTGGTCATGGGGCTTGAACTCAGGGCTTGGACACTGTCCCTCTCTCTCAAGGCTAGCTTTCTACCACTTGGAGCCTTAGCTCCCCTTCCAGATTTATTGGAGATAAGAGTCTAACAGTCTTGCCGGGCGCTGGTGGCTCACACCTGTAATCCTAGCTACTCAGGAGGCTGAGATCTGAGGATCGCGGTTCAAAGCCAGCCTGGGCAGGAAAGACCGTGAGACTCCTATCTCCAATAAACCACCAGAAAACCGGAAGTGGCGCTGTAGCTCAAGTGGTAGAGTGCTCGCCTTGAGCTGAAGAGCTGAGGGACAGTGCCCAGGCCCAGAGTTCAAGCCCCACGACTGACAAAAAAAAAGAGTCTAACAGTCTTTCCAGCCCCAGGTGACTTTGAACCGTGATCCTCAGACCTCAGCCTCCTGAGTAGCTAGGATGACAGGTGTGTGAGCCACCGATGTCTGGCTTTGAATACCTAATATTTTGCTTACTTATTTACATCTGTTTGGTCAGTACTGTGTTTGACCTCAATGAAGGTTGTTTCTTTGCCCTAAAAAAGAATAAAATTTTTTAAAAAAAGAATAAAATTAAAAATATGTATATGACTCCGCGCTAGTGGCTTATATTTGTCATCCAAGCTACTCAGGAGGCTGAGATCTGAGGATTGCAGTTCAAAGCCAGCCCAGGCATGAAAGTCCCTGTGAGACTCTTATCTCCAATTAACCACTCAAAAACCAGAAGTGGCGCTGGGCGCCTGTGATCCTAGCTACTCAGGAGGCTGAGATCTGAGGATGTGGTTCAAAGCCAGACCCAGGCAGGAAAGTCCTGGGGGTAGGAGGGGCTCTTATCTCCAACAAACTACTCAAAAAAGCTAAAAGTAGAGCTGTGGCTCAAGTGGCAGAGCACTAGCCTTGAGCAAAAAGCTCGGGAGACAGAGCCCAGAAAGAAAAGAAGAAGAAAAGAAAACAGAAGTGGCAATGAGGCTCAGAGTGGTAGAGTGCTAGCCTTGAGCAAAAAGCAGCTCAGGGACAGTGCCCAGGCCCTGAGTTCAAGGCCCACAACTGACAGGAAAAAAAAAAAAAAGTATATGAACTGCAATCAATGCCTTTCTATTGAACAGTGCTTCTGTGGAGTCCTGAGTTACTGGGTTAATCAATGAATCCCAAAATGCCAAAGGAGATTGGAGATTTGCTGAGCGCGAACTGCCGACGTGTGGGCGGGTGGTCACCTTTAACATGAAGTCCAGATGGCAGCCCACGCAGTCCCCGATCCAGTGGGCCTGCATGCCCTTTATGCCATACCACTCGGGAAGGTCTGCCAGCCCATCCTGCATGGCCTGTGAGAATAAAGAGAAGAGGAAGAGAAGTAGACAGCACTTAGTGGAGGCACCAAAGGTGTCGGGACATGTGAAGCTAGTGGTACGGTTACTTATACTGCTTTGGCTGAAGAGCATGGACTTCTAGCTTGAGCCCAGGAGAAAAGCTTCGCATCCCAGGAGAAAAGCTTCGCATCCCTGCCTCCATTCGTGTGTGTGTGTGTGTGTGTGTGTGTGTGCGCGCACGCGCGCACGCGTGCAAGTACTGGGGCCTGACCTTAGGGTCTGTCACTCTCATTTGGCCGTGTGTATGTATTTGGGTCATGGAGCTTAAACTCAAGGCTACTACTTTGAACCACAGCTCCATTTCCAGTTTTCTGGTGGTTCACTGAAGATAGAGAGTTTCATGGCCTTTCCGGCCCGGGCTGGCTTTGAACTGTGATCTTCAGATCTCAGCCTCTTGAGTAGGTAGGATTATAAGCATGAGCCACCAGCGCCCAGTTCATTTGAGGTTTTTGTTGTTGTTGTTGTTGGTCATGGGGCCTGAACTCTGGGCCTGGGTGCTGTCCCTCAGCTCTTCAGCTCAAGGATAGTGCTCTACCACTTGAGCCACAGTGCACTTCCAGATTTTTGGTGCTTAATTGGAGAAAAAATTCTCCTGGATTTCCCTGCCCAGGCTGATTATGAACCTCAGTCCTCAGATCTCAACCTCCTTAGTGGTTTAGATTATAGTTGGGAACCATGTGTTCTCTTCCATAGTTCAGGAACTACAACTAGAAGGTCATGACCTACAGACCTGTGTCTGGCAGCATAGCCTGTTCCCTGCCCCAGAAAATCAAATTCTGGCTGGGTGCTGGTTGCTCATGCCTGTCATCCTAGCTTGTCAGGAGGCTGAGAGCTGACGATCTCAGTTTGAAGCCAACCAAGGCAAGAAAGTCTGTGAGACTCTTTTTTTTTTTTTGGGTCCGTTGTAGGACTTGAACTCAGGGCCTGGGCACTGTCCCTGAGACTCTTTGTGCTCAAGGCTAGAGCTCTATCACTTGAGCCACAGCACCACTTCCAGGTTTTGAGTTAATTGGAGATAAGAGTCTGACCGGGACTTTTCTGCCTGGGCTGGCTTCAAACTGAGATCCTCTTATCATCAGCCACCAGTGCTCAGCTCTAAGAGACTCTTATCTCCAATTAACTACCAAAAAAGCCAGAAGTAGAGCTGTGGCTCAAGTGGTAGAGAGCTAACTTGAGGACAAAAGCTCAGGAACAGTACCCAGGCCCTGAGTTCAAGCCACAGGACTGGCATGAGGGGGGGTGGGGAGAATGTAAGAGAGAGAAGGAAGGAAGAAAAGAAGGAAGATTAATTCTGATCAGAAAATGAAAGAGAGAGAAGGAAAACAAGGAAGGAAGAAGGAAGGAAGGAGGGAGGGAAGGAAGGAAGGAAGGAAGGAAGGAAGGAAGGAAGGAAGGAAGGAAGGAAGGAAGGAAGGAAGGAAGGAAGGAAGGAAAGGAGAGAAAGAAAATTGAATTCTGATCAGCTGCTCTGGTAGGAACGTAGAAACCATCTCTTCAGGTTTTCTCTTGATTGAACTGTCCAGCCTAGAAAACTTCTGCTGGAGGTATTTGCTTAAAATAGTCAAATAATGGAGATGAGGACAAAAGAGTCATAGATGGATGAAATTGAATTGTTTTCATACGCTAATTCTAGAGGAAGGCCTAGGTAGGACCTAACCAAACATAAAAACCAAAAGATAATTTACACATATATATAATTTACATATATACACACATATATTTATATATATGTATATATGTGTGTGTGTATACATATAAAATGCTGGTCCTCAGCGCCTGAGTGCTGTCCATGAGCTTTTGTGTCCTTGAATCATAGCTCTGTAGCACTTGGACCACAGCTCCATTTCTGGGTTTTGGGTAGTTAATTGGAAATAAATGTCTGTCTCATGAACTTTCCTGGCTGGCTTTGAACCTAGATCCTCAGATCTCTGCTTCCTGAGCAGCTAGGATTAGCTTTCTGTTTTTTATTTTATTTTTTATTTTGGTTGGTCGTGGGGATTGAACTCTGAGCCTGGGCACTGTCCCTTAGCTCTTCAGCTCAAGGCTGGCACTCTACCACTTGAGCCACAGTGCCACTTCCGGTTTTCTGGTGGTTTCTTGGAGATAAGAGTTTCATAGACTTTCCTGCTCAGGCTGGCTTTGAACCAGAGTCCTCAGATCTCAGCCTCCTGAGTAGCTAGGATGACAGGCGTGAGCCACTGGCGCCTGGCGGGTTTGCTTTTTATGTTTACATTTAGGGGAGCTTGTTGTGAAGTTTGTCCCCAGTCCCGGGTTGCCATTCATATTTCTAACTCACAGACTTCTGGGAACTCTCGACTGACTGCAAAGCTATAATGCCAAGGTCTCCCTGAAATTGCTTTCTGCCAGCCCCATGGCCTTTGGCTCCCCCCATCCCCCCCCCTCCCCCCCCCCCCGATTTTCTGTGCTGACCTCCAAAAACAGCTCCTTCAATCACTGCACACCGGGGTTCAGCAAGAACCAGGCAGGTTGCCATGGTAACTAAGCACTTTGGCTGAACAGTTGACAAACTCAGCGCTGCCAATTGAAAGAATAAATGCCCCTCAGTTAGGCTATTACATTTCCAACTAGAGGCAGAGGTCAAAACGAAAGAGCTAATTAGGTGGCCTTTCCGAGCCGGTGGACTCCAGACTCCAGAATCATCGGCTGGGTCTGCAGGATGACCTGCTCCACTTCCTGGCAACACAGTGGGGGGGCCCCAACTGTCAGCAGAGAGCTCAAACTGCCCAGATGCTACAGGGGGCCCTGACCCCAGCTTTGTTTTTCTCTGCCTCTTCTCTGATAGCCCTGTCCTTTTAAGGAACAGCACACTGGTGTTCATGAGGTCTAATGCGCATCTCTGTGCATTCTGAACAAATTACACAGGGGAAAGAGCCTCCTTGAAGACCTATATTTTGGGGGGGGGGGAATAAAGCCTGTTGGTCACATTTCCCTACAGTGTTGGAGCATTACGGTTCAGGTTTGGCAAAGCTTTGTAATGATCACAGGTAACACAGGCCTTGTGTTTTCCTTGCATTTAAGACCTTCAGCATGGCCAGGCATGGTGACTCATGCCTGTAAGCCCAGCTATTCAGGAGGCTGAGATGTGAGGATGGTGGTTTGAAGCCAGACCATGCGGGAAAGTTTGTGGAATGTTTATCTCCAAGGAACCACCAGAAAATGGGAAGGGACTCAAGTGGTAGAGTGCTAGCCTTGAGCAAAAGAGCTCAGGGATGGTGTCCAGGCCCTGAGATTAAGCTCCACAACAGATAAGAAAAGACCTACAGTTGGGGTTTGGAGGCCTGGCTCAGTTGGGAAACACTAGCCAACAAGTGAAAACATCACTTTGTGTACCAGACTCAAAGAGAAGGGGAGGGGAGGGGAGGGGA